GCCCTTTGTACAGCAGTGTATAATTCTGCTTTTCAACTTTTTCAACATTCAGTGCTGACCATCCATTTCATTTCTGCTGGCGCAACCTTTGTTTAGATATGTTAATGTCATCTGTTTAATTCAATCAAAAACATTTCAAAGTGCCTGTGATGGGCTGGGAGCTATAACAGGTGCTGAACATCCAAGGTTAGTTCTCATCCAATGTTAGTTCTCATCTGAGCCATGTCCTCAAGAGTTCATCTTCTAATTAGCAAGACCTCTCTTTCCTATTTTTGACCCAGGAGATTGCATGTTTCTTTAAGTGCCTTCTGCATATATCTAATTTTATCCATTCTAATGTCTAATGTCAATTAATTTTCAGAGTTCTAGAAGGAATACACCGTTACCCTACCACAAGGGGTATTTTGTATAGGAGGCACTGGGGAGTTAAGTAGTTTACTTGAAATCACTAAGTTAATAAATAGTGGAGCCAAGATGCAAACGCTAGGTCTTTCTGACTCCAAAAATCACACAGTATTTCCTCTATTCCATGCAGTCTCTAAGAAACTAAAAACTCTGAGATATAAAATACATAAAATGCCTACATTTCCTCACACATTCCCCCATTCAATGACTATGTCTGCCAAAATAAAATCAGTGATATCAAGTTACAAATTTTTACAGGGCTTTTAGAATTCCTATTAACTAGTAGGCCCCCTAATTTAATAAGCCAACAATAAATAATCCTCATTTTGGAAGGTAAAGGCTCATTTCACTGATATTTAGTACTGTTGGAAAACTGAATCAAAACTCAGATCACTTTTCTAGTTGAAAGCTCTAATCTCAGCAAAAAAAAAGCACCCTTCTAATATGTAATATATCTAAATTTTACTTTTACTTTAAGCCTTAATATATTATTATGTAAAACATATTACCAGTGATTTAAAAACATAAATTAAGCAAATAAAAAGTACAAAGTGCACCAATGGATATCTCAACTTATCTAAAGCTTTAAGTTACATATTCTGTTGATAATATATTTTCCTTTAATTTATGCTGAATTACTAAGAAGAAATGCTTCTTAACCAATCCCATTAATATCTACCTGTTTTTTATATTTCTCATGAGTTATAATAGCTCTTTACAGTTGATGGCAAAGAGTTACTAAGTAAGGAAATTACTTGAACAGAAATCCTAATGTACAAATAAGAAAAATATGATGAACTGGGAAAGGGAGAACAGGAAATGGGAGGAGAAAGACTATTAGATGGAGCACTGTAGGAGTAAAAACATCAGAAACTGCAATTCATCAAACAGGAAGTCCTGAAATCACATGACATGCAGGAAAATGAAATTTAAAAATAAATGAAAAAGGGAAAGAAAGGTGGGCAGGCTCAACAGAGCCAAGAGTGGGGGGAATGCAAAAGGCTTTAAATAGAGACATTACAAACCTATTTAAAAGAATACATCATTTGGGTGAACTCACAATATCACGAAAGAGATGATGCATTATAGTATTGTTTACCGGAAACCTATATAATTTTATTAACCAATGTCACCCCAATAAATTCAATAAAAAATTTTTTAAAAGTTATAAATAAATAATCTTGTGATAGATAAGGGACTACTTTCACTTTCTCACTTATCTTTTAATATTTACTCAGTAGAGAATTACACTAACATCTAGCCACTAACTGTCAAAAAGCTAAAGAAAATGATTCTCTCCTAAAATAGCTTTTATGATAACCAGTTTTTTCATAAAAACAGAAAAGTATATTATATTCACAATTAGGTTAAGAAATATCATCTAAGTTAAATTGATCTTACCCATTAAGGTTGCTAAAAGACACAAGGAGTACATTTCTTTGTCAGCTTGCTCCTGAAGTTCCTTAGATGACAGTTTACCAGTAGCAGCAATCTCTTCTTGTTTCACAGCATGAGCTGAGTGTGCTGCAGCAGACTGACCACCTTCTGCTTTACTTTTTAGAATCTCTATTGTAATTCTGTCACCATGCTGTAAAGGTACTGGCTCCTTTTCCATGCCTGCCTGGGGTGGCGTTAATTCTTTAGGCGGAAAGCCATATCGAATACACTGTAAATATGGAGGAATGTTGAATTCTCTGGCTATGCTTTCCTGAAGTTCAAAAAATGTTGTTGAAGACTTAAGTGTAACCATGGACTGTCGTCCATCATTAGTTGTTATTCGGATCTTCTTCTCTTTAGAAGTTGTTGGTGAATAAAGAGACTTGGTCGGGGTAGCAGGCGCAGAGGATGGACCATCACGAATGGCACTGGGAGAAACAGTCCTGGGCTGGCCTTTTTGTTCTTGTTTTAACTTCTCTGTTTTCCGTTTCTGCATTACAGAAGCTTGTTCTGTAATACTCTGTTGAATAATTCTTTCAGTTTTACTCATGTTTAACTCCTCCTTGTGCAAAGTTTTTGTTTTCTGTCCAGTGAGAATAATTTTAGTTGGGAGCTGAGACTCTGACTCTTGTCCTTGTACATCTCCAACTCTTTGGGCATGAGCACCATCTATGTTTACAGGAGTATAATCATCAGGATTCTTTTTGGCAGTCTGATGCAATATAGTGTGGACAACTTTCTGAACCAGGATTTCACTCCCAAATTCACCAGGAAAGTGCTTGGTAACAAGTTTCATTGCAACATCGTAAACATTACTATTCAAAGATGAATCACTTTCATATTGGAACCAATAAACTGTTTCTCTGACCACTCTGCCACCCCATTCCAAAGTAATAGGAAAAGCTTCTGGTAGATTGTCATACTCCTTACCATCCCAAAAATGTTTGAATCCACAACCACATTTGCCACCAGTGGACCTAGAATTAGTTCTGTCCCCATCCAAATACACAATAGACCCATCTCCTCTGACCCTTCGCACAGATGTGCCATGGCACCAATTACAAGCTGTTAGATTACTCAATCCGTAGTCTGGTACCAGAACATCTTTCATTGAATCATATGAGCAAACCAAATTGTTCAAGGGAAAGCTATAATTTTTGTCAGGCCTCAGCTGTCCATGAGTACTTTTTGCCAGGTTATACAGTTTCCCTCCTGGAGCCAACCACTCTGGAGGAACGTGAAGTTCAGAAAGGGCACCACAGAGCAAACATTTGTGAAGACGATTATCCATTACTGCTTTTTTAGCAGCTGCTGTGACTTCTTCAGGCTGTACTCCTATCACCCCAGTCCTCCTGTAGAAATACTGATGGACATCAGCAACCAAACTAGGGTGGATACCGTGTTTGTCCATAAAGACTTCTTCCATAGCAGCAACAAGCCTAAGCAAGTATTTATCCTGCAGACTTCTGTCTCCTCCAATAACACAACCACCATCCTCCTCAAGTTTGATGTACTTTTTAATAAGGTCCTGAGGCACACCCCATGCTTTAGGAAGCAAATTCATAGGCAGTTTGGGCAAAGCAGCCCCCTTTATACCTACCAAGGGGATATAATGGTTTCTACCAGAGCTACTCCATGCAATACAGATTGGTTTGTTCAAATGACCATCTTTCCCAGTGCACTTCTCTGCAGGGATGAGCCCAGGCAGAAAGGTAGCTGAATAATCTCCAGAGCTTCTCATGCCACTGAGAGAATCTAACAAAATAATAGGGCGATGTAACACGTTGGCAAGGCCAAATATGTGGATGTTCCTCAGACCCAAGGGAACACCCTCCGGCGGTACAAACATAGGGTCACACTCATTGATAATGTCTTCCCACTCAGCAGCATCAATGAAGTCATGGAACAGGGCTTGATATCTGGCCAGGTGCTGCTGAAAGTGCTGTTTCAGATTCTCTCTCAAGGCATGCCAGAAGAGCTCCCGGCCTACTAGAGCCCGGGACACAGCATGCACCAAGCAATGTCCATCCCCGTCCACATGCACTGGAATGAGGCATTCCTGACTTTTATTGGCCCGCTTGATGTCCTCAAGAGTGTCATGCAAATATAGGAGGCTTCCGGAGCGGTCCTTGCCATAGCCCACGGTGTTAACATGCTCTGGTTCGATGAGGAAGGCGCGGTCACCCAGTAAAGCGCAATCGAACACTTCGCCCTGGTTCATGTCCCGGAGAAGCTTAGCCCGGCCCGTCTGCTTGTCCATTCCATAGCGAGCTAATATGGGCGACAACAATTTGCAGTGGTAGTTGGAAAGGCCCATCACCTTTACCAGTTCCGTGGTCTTCTTGGGTGCTCCCGTAACCCCCAACAGCGCGTTCCGCAGCAGGTTGTGTAGCACTACGTCCGGGTCGGTCACCTCCTCCACCCCCAGCAGCTGTTGTTGCTCGTGCCGCTGTCCGCACTCGGTACACTCGATGCTGACGGAACCGGAGGCCGGGAAGAACAGTCGCGCCTGGCACTTCGGATCTGGGCAGCTCCCGGAGAGGATTCTCCGGTCTCTCCGCTTCGAGAGCACCCCCGGAGCAGCAGCCGCCGCAGTCGTCAGGGACGATGGAGTCTGCGGAGCCTCAGGCGGAGGAGGTGGCGGCGGCAGCGGAGGCGGCGGCGGCGGCTGAGACATAGCGCTCGGGTCTTGTGTCTCGCTCCGCGTCCCAAGCGACCCTCAATGGCTCATAGCCCAGACCTCCACCGGCCCAACTCGGTCTAGCCCAGGCCCAGGGCGACTCACTTTCCTTTCTCTATCAGCTCCTCCTCCTCTTAAGCGAAGGCGGAAGCACCAGACGTTGTTTCTCTTCTTACTTCTCCACTGCCGTAGCCGTTGCCCCGAACGTAACGGCCACCACCCTACCCCGCACTCACACTCACACACTCTCGCTCTCTCGCTCAAGACACACACAGACATACACGCCCTCACTGAGAGTGCGCAGGCGCAGCTTCCGCTCTACCCTCTGGGAATTAGAGTCTTCGAGCCTCTTTCTTGATCATCGAATGCTAGGATTTTAAGTCCTGCAAGAACTACAAGTACCGTGAGGTCTGGAGGTTTAGCGTCCGCGGAGAGGAGGAAGAGGAAGGCGATAGGAAACGGGGCAGAAAGGAAAATAGTCACTCACGTTGCTTGCCGGGAATTGTAGTTTAGTCTGGATCGGTTTTACCTCTTTCCCCACTTTGGGGCCCAAGCAAAAGAATGTGAAAGACCACCTTTCCTAGGATGCACTGCGGTGCGTTCAGCTCCACTTCCTCCTTAGACGGAGGGAAGGATACACAGACGCTTGTGTGGTAAAAGGCAAGTTAAAGGGGATGGTGGTCGGAAATAGAGGTCTGGAGTTCACGACTTCTCTAGAAGGAGGGGAGGGGACTGAAAGGCTCCCGGTGAAGAAGGTACAGTAAATAAATGTCCAGTGTTATGGCGGGCTGGGTAGTTGAGTGAAATGGTCTGTGTTAGGCTAGCGGTCATAATAGAAAAGGGAAAAAGAGTGAAATTGATTGTCGGAGTGATTCTTAAAGTCTTCCCCCACCCCCGCTCCAGGCGCCGCCACACTTTAATTCTTATTATTCCCGCTGTTTCAAGGCACTGAGGCTCCCGAGCTCCATTTTCTGCCTTTTTTCTCTACTGAGGGTGGTTAACGCGCCATTTGTTTCGTCCTTCCCTGTACGTCTCTGCTGTTTACAGTACTACAAATAATATCTTCTTCCCTCTCATAACAGCCATCGTTAAGTTCTTAAATATACGTCTGAATAGCATTTCCATGCACGGTATCATCTTGCTCTATATAATAACCTTGTTAGGAAATATGTTTAGAAAGGAAATGACTTGCTCGAGTTCATAGTAAGTAACTGGATAGGTGCAGACCTAGATCTGTACCCATTTTACAGACAAGGACATAGGCAGGAAAGGTTAAGCCAGTATTAATAAAATAATAGCTAGTTTCCTGTTACTATTTTAGTTGTTGATAAAGAACATCTAGCCTAAGAAAAAGTCTTACAAGAGTTTGAGCGAAATTGACACAATTGCTAGGAAGCAAAACCTCAACAGATTGAAAAATATTCCAGGGAATGGTACTTTGGCAGCTCATTTTAAACATTAAAATCGAGGAGATGTAAGGAAGGTTATATGTAGTTCATTGGTTGTAGATTAGAAAAGTGGGAGAAAGCAAGGTGGGAAAATCTCTGAGATTAGGTAAGAAGTAAAATGGAGAGACGCACCAGCTCTTAGAAATTTTTACATTCTGACGGCCCTCTGTGGTTACTTTGGTCTCTGGGTTTGTAAGACCAGCCACGTAGGCTTTCCCTTGAGCTTGTCAGGTTTAGTATGTGGCCTCTTTTCATCCATAATATGCTTAATATGTTAGCATATATCATGCGATCCTCACACCAGTCCTGTGATACCTTTACCAGGTATATAGTTGACTCCATTTACAGTTACCGAATAAAGACTAGAAAGAATTAAGTGACTTGACCAAGGTCGAATCACCAGTGTAACTCAGACAAAAAGAGTGCTTTTTACAAAAGCACTCTACCAAAGTAAAAATGAGCTAAGGTTAGACCTTTTGTTACACCTCAGGGTCTCCTCTTAGTGACTTAAGGGGTTGTAAGAACACTTACCCTAAGGAGGTGAAAGCTTTCTTTTATTACTTGTGTGCTAGGAAACTGTCTTTTCAGGCCAAACACACTCATATGTTAATTAAAAGCTAGTATTATTTAAATTATTGTAGTCAATCCTTTTCACTTATTCTGGAAATTCTTACTTTTAAAACCTTATGTACAACCAATGGATAAGAACTAAACGGGGCGGAGAATGTGGGTGGGAGGCAGTGTGCAGGGCAGAGAGGAATAAAGGGCGGGGGGGGAATGGTACAACTGTAATAGCATAATCAGTTAAGTATTTTTTATAAATAACTTAGGTAAGTGAACTTCCTCAAAATTTCTGAAACATCTGGCACAAAATAGATAACATCATTACAGTCCATGAGGTCTTTTATGTCTTGTGTACCTGCCAAAGGAACTGTTTACCTGGTTTTGTTTTCTGTAGAATTTGATGCTTGAAAGAGGAACCATCTGTAAGACAGACACTTCTAAAGAGTTTAGTACTGACTTTTATCTAATTATCATCTGTAATTTTCTTCAAAAGAAATGTGTTTGGAAGAGAAATCCTTCAAAGGTTAATTATTTTCTTGTCCTTCTACTTTACCCATGCAAAAATAATGTTACCTTTAAACAAGGTAGATAATGGTTCTCACCTTGAAGGGGATAATTTATGCAAGAAAAGTTGTTTATATGTGTTTTGACAATAGTTGGGTCTTGTAATTGATTTTTAATTGAGTGTTTATAAGTTGAATAATTGGATATGCCCTTTAAATGGAAATTTTCTTCCATGACTGAAAAGTTACACCTGCAGTGAGATTTTATTTTTCTCATATAGAAGTCAAAGAATTGAATTATGAAAGCCTCAGAGCATGTGAAAGCTGATGGCAGTATGCAGTTTTAACACTGTCGTGGACTTTTATGTCTCACCAAGCCAAATTTTCCTTATTGATGATAACATATGAACAATGAAATAGATATTTTGAATTGCACCTCAATATGTCATTCTGAATCGTACTTTAACAGAATAACCAGTTCCCACCTTCCTGAAGAAATGGGCAGCATTTTTTCGCCCTGCCTACTGCAATCCACTCCATTGATCCAGTGCTCATTTCCCTGTATGGAACCGTGATTAGTTAGAAATATTCTTCCCAAACTAAATTTGATATTTGAGCCCATTTGTTACTACAGTTCTTCTAGTTTTATGAATTATACTTTTGAGAGAAAAATAGAAATGCCCTGGTATAAAGAACAGTTAATGAGAGACGAAGGGGGAGGTAAGTTTTCAAGCAGTTCTAGAATTAAATTACATTATTTAACCTGAAAGTCACTTAGTTAATGAATCTGTAGATGCAGCCAAAGTTGAGACAGTAAGAAATGGACAATGATATTAACCATGCTAAATTCAATTTGTGAATTAGTTCTTTACAGGCACTTAGAAGGCATGCACACCTATATAGTAAGAAAAAGAAATTTTGTTAGGACAAAATATGACATACTGTTTCTTTTAAGGCCATAAGAGTGCTGAAAGCTTCTAATTTACTTATAATCTACTTCCATGAGATAAACATGCTTCCTTCTTCTTCCTCCAAAATTCCATGATCTTAATTGCCTAATAACTTTCCTAAAGTCTTTGTGGGTTACCTGATAGTCCTTTTTCTTGTCTCAGTATTCCAGATGGGAAAAAATGAGCTGGGCCCCTAATGTTAGTTGCCCTGATACATAACTCTTCTACCACCATTACTGTAGCATCATCACTTGCATCTGAATTGCAAAAATTTAGTTAAAACTGAAATTCATATTTTTTTCAGAGTTTCTAGTATGGCGCTTCTAAACTTCCTGGATTGCTTTCAACAAACCTGGTAAGTGTAAAGTCAAGAGTATCTATTTAAAATAAAAACAAAAGGCATCCACTTCACAACAAAAAAAAGTCATCATTGTTTTTTCTCTTTCATATTAGGGATTGTTTTAAGTCAGATATAGTCTTTCCCCTACAGAAATATACATCTGTATTAAGAGTTGACTGTTACTCCAAATCCCTACCCCACTCCAATCAGATGTCCCGTTTTAAGCTTTTGTTGAAGCTCAGAGTGGAGGAACTCAAGGGGAAGCAAAAGGCCATCTGTATCCTAAAGGTATCCTAAAGGAGCTCACAGTTTAATAGAAGAAATAACCTCATCTAAACTGTTCATAAATGCAAGTAGAATAAAGCATATAATCAGTCAAAACAATACAGGAAAATACCACAAATTCTATGAAAAATGTATTGAGGGCTTTTATATTATCTTAATCTTTAAAATAATTCTGTGAAATAGCATTGTCTTTATGCAGATGAGAAGCTATAACTCCGAAAGGTTAACTTTATTGTTGTTACTACCACCCAGCTAGCAAAAAGCAGAACTGGGCTTTAAATCAAGATTTTCTTCTATGTTCAGCTCTCACTCTTTCCACTACCTCACAACTGCTTAGTGATTTGAGAGAGAATTAGCCAAAAAGTGAGTGCAAACTGTTGGCCAGTGTCCAAATTTGGCTTACATGCATTTTTGTTTGGCTGGCAGCAATTTAACTTTTTTTTTTAATGTGAACATCTTTGGGCAGTGGCCAGCACTTCACTCTTTAAGGTTTTACACCAGGTCCCCTTGACACAAATTACTTGCCTGACTCCAGAAAGCATTTGTGCTTTCTATATCAGGCAGTAACTGGGGATTGAGAAGAGCTATTCTCAAAAGTATTGGTATCATGGAGAAGTTATATGCAAGGGTTGGAAAGAGGACTTTATAAATAAGAATTATAGAGAGTATTTGAAGAACAAGAATTGGCAGTATTTATTACATAAAGGTGAGAGAGGTCAAGTACTATACAAAGCTAGAAGTTAAGACTTAACATGGCAGTTCTCAAACTTTAGTAAGCATCAAAATCAGATGTAAAGCTAAAACCGATTGCTGGGTTCCACCCCAGATTTAGTGCTTCTGGAGTGAAGCCTGAGAATTTGTTTTTTTAGCAAGTTCTCTGGTATTGCTGGTGTTGGTCCAAGTTACACTTTGAAAATCACTGCTTATCAGACCACGGGGCACTTTGGGAGACGGGCGTAAGCCAAGGTTTTGCTTCTGTGTTTCCCTTGTTTTAAGTGCAAAAGGAATTGCTTGATGCAGAATGTTTAGAAAATTAAGTAGTCTGTTATCAATTAGAGGTTACAGTTTTTAATATTTTTATGGATATTTTCAGTTTCTTTTTTCTAAAAAAGTGTAGTTTTAAAAAAAACCCAAAGTTATAAGTGTCATCACAGCTATTGACATTTAATTGGGCATCTACTATGTACCAGGGTCTTTACATATCTTTACTTAATCCTTATAATATCCCTATGAGCCGGGTAATATTATCATCATTCTTATTTTACAGATGATGAAACTGATGCACAGTGGGGTTAAGTAACTTGCCCAGTGTTTCACTGCTGGTAAGTAGCATAATTAGTATTAAAATCAGGGCAATCTGGCCCCAGAGCCTGTATGTTTTACCATTATGCTATACTGATTTTTAGGCTATACTATAGTGTATACTGGTTTTAACCTATATTTAATCACATCATGAATAATCTTGATATTCTTGTCCAGCATTTGAAAGCCTACTTTTTTCTTTCCTTCACAGGCATTCCTTGTTTTACTGCATTTTGTTTTATTGTGTTTTGCAGATACTGCATTTTTTACAAATTGAAGGTTTGTGGCAACCCTGCATCTAAGTGAATTTCTGGCTCCATTTTCTAACAGCATTTGCTCATTTTGTGTCTCTGTGTCTACTCCTGGTGGAGATGCTGTGAAGATTGTTGAAATGACAACAAAGGATTTAGAATGTTGCATAACTTTGTTGATAAAGCATCAAGATTGTTTGAGAGGACTGACTCCAGTTTTGAAAGGAGTTTTCCCGTGGGTAAAATGCTACCAAACAGCATTGCATGCTACAGAGAAATCATCTGTGAAAGGAGGAGTCAGTGTGGCACATTTCACTATTGTCTTAAGAAATTTCCACAACCACTCCAGCATCCACCACTCTGATCAGTCAGCAGCCAACAGCATTGAGGCAAGACCCTCCACCAGCAAAAAGAATCTAACTCACTAAAGGCTCAGATAATGCTTAGCATTTTTGAGCAATAAAGTATTTTTAAATTAAGGTATGTATGTTTTTAGACCTGATACCACTTCATAGATGATAATATATTATAAACGTAACTTATATATGCACTGGGAAACGAAACAATTCATGTGACTTGCTTTATTGAAATATTTGCTTTATTGTAATGGTTTGGAAATGAACCTACAGCATCTCTCAGGTATGTCTGTAATGTATTTCAGACATTCAAAGTGTACAACAAAATAATATTTGAAATATTCATGTCCCCACTACTTGGTTTAACAACTGTTAATACTTTACCATATTTGCTTTAGAACTCCCAAAAAAAACAAAAACAGGTTTAGTAAGACTACAATTTTGAGGTTTAATTTTACTTAAAATTGTGCCTTATAAAGGAAATGACCATTTCCCTAAATAAAAATAGGATATTCATTAAACTGAATAATGGAGGAAGAATTTCCATGTACTGAATAGCTCCATAATCACCATTGCCATTCTAATGCTATCTCAGTGAACACTCCTCCTCCTCCTCCTCCATCCATGGGCTTAATTAATTACTTAGTGATAAATGTAATAAACACAGGAACAAAATGCTAGGTAATATGACTTGTATGGCCTACACAGTTTTCATGCTGCTTGGCCTACCTTTATGTAGTGAAGGTCAAATTCTACCAGGGTAGCATGTCATCATTGCCCAATGGAACTGTCTGCAGTGATGTAAGATCCTATGCATGTCCTGTCCAATGTGGCAGCCACTAGCCACATGTGGCTATTAGGCACTTGAAATGTGGCTAGTGCAACTGAGAAACTGAATTGTATATTTTATTTAAATTTAAGTAGCCACATGTGGCTAAAGGCTACCATATTAGGCAGCACAGATCTGAGTCCTCAAAGTCCACATTAAAATTAATGATGTGAGTCCTGGCTCTTGGTAGGGCATTAGCGGATGGGGACTGACTACAAAAGGAAACAAGGGAACTTTTGGGGATGATGGAAATTTCCTTTATCTTGATTATAATGATGGTGACATGGATGTATATGTTTCCCAAAACTCACCCTGCGCTCTTAAAATGGGTGTGTTTGATGTGGGTAAATTATATCTAAATAAAGGTGATTTTACAAAGTAAAAGAAAAAAAGTTTTAGAGACAGTAATTTCACCTCATGTATAGTTAAAGCATGCCTTCTGCCATTTCATTTTTTTCCTTATAATCACCAAAATCATGACTACATTACCATCCCTGCGTGATCTGGCGTCGACTACTTTTTTGACTTATTTCCTGACTGTGCTTCAGCCACACTGGCCTCCTGGTTGATCCTCAAACACTCCAAGTACATTCTTGTCTCAAGGCATTTGAACTTGCTCTTCTGCTGCTTGGAAAACTCTTCCCCAGGTATTCATTTTGGTGTCTGCTCAGATGTCAGACAGTGATGCCATTCCTGCCAGCCTTTCTAAAACAGTACCTCTGTCCTTTCAACTCTATTCCCTAATCCTGCTCACTTTCTTTGTAGCACTAATTACTATCTGAAATTATATGACTACTTGTCTATTGTCCTCCTTCCCAATTAGACTGTAAGGCTGTTCATCAGGGCAGGGAGTTTTGTTGATTGTTGGATTCCCTGTGCCAGGCACACAGTAGCCTCAGTAAATACTGTTAAATGAATGAATAAATGAATGACTGTCATCCATGGCAGTGTTTGTCAGCCTGAGTTCATAGAAAATCCACAAATTCCCATCAAGATTAAAAAAAATTTGTGATGTTATTTTGATGCTAATCTAAACCAATGATATTATTAATGATTTTCCAGATAAACACCTTAAAACATGAAGTTTTTTTTTAAGACTTTATTTATTTTTTAGAGAGGGGAGAGAGAGAGGGAGAGAGAGAGAGAAACATCAATGTGCGGTTGCTGGGTGCTGTGGCCTGCAACCCAAGCATGTGCCCTGGCTGGGAATCAAACCTGCAATGCTTTGGTTCGCAGCCCGTGCTCAATCCACTGAGCTACGCCAGTCAGGGCAAAACATGAAGTTTTGAGTGCATGAATTCACACTGAGTTTAGGATTTTGCTTATATCAAATGAAAGCTAAAGGACATCATGACACAATGCATGGATAAAGATTTCACAGTAATTTTGGTAGAGTGTCGAGTCATCACATGTCACAGAGTAGCCTTGACATGCCAAATTCAAAAGAACCAGCACTTCAGTGCCACATTCCAGTTAGAGACAGAAATTGCACAGCACTCACACGCATACATATGCTTATACTCACAGCGACTTAGTAGCTATAAGAGAACTAGTAAATACTCAGTAATAATTAGAGTAGGTACTATATAATTCAGATTCCAAGTACTCAAAAATACCCTTTCTAAAAGTATTTTACTTGTTTTTTAAGAAGATTTTATTTATGTTTAGAGAGTAGGGAAAGGAGGAAGAAAAAGGGAGAGAAACATTGATATGGGGGAGAAACATTGATGGGTTGCCTTTTGCACATGCTCCAACCAGGGCCTGAGCTCAGCTCACAAACCACACGTGTTCAACATCGTTGTTGCTTTGCACAACAATGCCCAACCCAGTCATGCCAGTTAAGGCTATTTATTTTTAGAGAGTGAAAGGGAGGGAGAAAGAAAGGTAGAGAAACATCAATCAGTTTCTTCCTACAGGCATCCTGACCAAACCCACACCTTTCTGGGTTGAACCTGTGACTTTGATTTTACAGGATGACACCCAACCAACTGAGCCACATAGGTCAAGGTAATACTAATCTTATCTTATAGTGAATAAGACTACTTTACACAGTTATCAAGTGATAATTAAAATTGGTGTTCTGGGATTTTATAGCACCAGAATTTTTACTAAAATATGAGACCTGATGATCAAGAACTAGTAGCAAAAATCCTGGAAGTTATTAATTAGTACAGTGTATTCAAACAGGTTATCATTTGCATTGACATTATTAAACATACAGAGACACATTTAATATAGATCAGAAGTTGAATCTTCCTGCTCATAAACCTAACATTTTACAATTCAAATTAACATTAATTTTAAATGGCTGGACCAAATAACCACTATCTTTGGAGGAAGAGAATACTTATTACTGCAATTTTATTACCTTTGCCTCTTGTTTTTTTTCCCCTTAATTTAGAACCCAAGGGTTACTTTTGGGATGAAAGAAAGTAAAGTTCAAGAATTCACCAAAAGCTGTTGTATCTTTACAAGTTTGAGTTTCTGTAGAATGGCCTAACTTCTCTTTGAACGTTCTAGCTCTATCTCAAAAAGAGTCTAGTACAGTTCCTTTCATGAGTATGACATAAAAAGTCAGAACAAGTTGTACCTGGCACATTTTCCATATGTATAGTTTCTTAAGACATATTTTAATAGGTGAGAGCAGAGCATATACATTTTTAGCCCTGTCAATCATTTATATATACCTTTCATAGGATTCCAAGATATTAATACATCATGATGATGTACAAAAATTTCAGTCCAAGGCAGTTTACAAGGAGGGATTTTTATTTAAATGGGCAGCAATATATTATTGTAGGAAATGATGTGTGTGTGCTAAATGAAAGCATCAGTACTAGGTGTCAGCACATCACATCAGAGAGGGCCTGAAGTTGAGCATTGGTAAAAATAGCAATAAATGGACAGTACACCTTTCACAAGGACACCTCTCACTGGCCATTTTCCCACCTCAAATGCTAATTATATATACCCTGGAATTTGCAAAGGTGTGCTCCACGAGTTCTATGGATATTAATAGGTATCATGTTGAGAGAAGGGTCCAATGGTCAAATAAGTTTAGGAAGTGATGAATAAACTGAGTTTAGACCTACAAACCTTTTTGTGCTGGTGATGTTGTGGCTCCTTCCAAAGAGCAACAGTGATGGCTTCGGAATGTCTGACAGAGTCTTAGTGTCAGGAGTCTGCTTGTAGCATAAGATACTGGGATATGTCCTTCAGTTACATTTGTTTGTTTGTCACACTGTTTTATTTAGACTGTATTTTTGGGGGTGATCTGGGGAAGCTGATAGACATAATGGGGGTGTTTAGTGCCTTAAGCTATCCCTAGCACTATTGTTGATATGTAGCTCTTCCACACTTTGTCTAAAAAAAACATTCTGAATCTGTGTTAGAGGCACACATTTTAAGAAAAACCAACTCAGACAAATAGTATCTGTCATTATGGTCTCTAGTTTTATCAGTGTGCTTTAAAAGGAATTAATGCTTGCCCATTATTATTTGGTAGTTTATGGAGGTGTTTTCCATTTAATGTTTTATTCCAGCTGTTACATATTTTTGTATATGATGTGAGGGAGAGATTTAACTATTTATATTGCAAAATACCAGTTGTCCCAGAACCTTGCTTTAAAATGTAGTTTTGGTTTTGTTTCCAGGTTCAGAACCTTTCAGATCAACTTACCAGTAAGTTCAGTATGTGAAACAGATAAACATAGTTGAAATGGGACAAGATAAGAGTTACTTCAACCTGCCAGCATTCCCTGCCCTCATTCCTACTCTGCACAGAAGAAGCTCCGGGGGGTACTTTGGAAGCCATTGGAAAAAAATCATTCCCTCATAAATGACTTGAAATGCCACATCTGTAATATGCTACATTAAAACGTTTACTTATTCCAATTATCTTTCTATTTTCTTCCAATCTCATAATTTATGGAGCCAAAGAACTTTGTAATATAAAAAAGAGATTGAAACATCTAGTAAGTAGAATAACAACATGAAGTCTTTTGGGGCCTATAAAATATTTCTTTATAATAATATCCATTATTGGTAAGAGTTGACTAAATTCTTTCAATATAGGGAAGATTAAGTTGGTAAAACTATGTATTGGTCAATAATTTGATAATATATATCACCAGTTTATAATGTTGATATTTTTCAGTCCACCAAAACAACTAGGATTTAACCCTAAAGAAATAACTGAAAATGTATGGAGATATTTTTTATGTTTGTAGTATTGAAAATGAACCAGATGTTTAACAGTGCAGGACTGATCAAATGAATCCTACACAGCCATAAGACAGTATACACTTCAGTGTCCATCATCACCACTTTCAGTGAGGGGGAAAAAGAAAAAATATACCATACTAAGCACCTTAATTATATTGTCTTATTTTAAGCCTAACAATATCCCTAGAATATGTATTATTATTCCCATTTATAGATGAGAAAACAGAAGTTAAGTTCAAACAGCTAGTAAAGTAGTATTGCTAGAATTCAGCCCATGCCTGCTTTTAATCCTTCTTAATCACTGTCCTAGTGGTATAGGAAAATGTTTATTTTTACTAAATTATTGTTTTAATACCATCTAAGTGACATTAAATAAACAAAAATCTTTCCAAATGCAATCACTTCTTCCTTTCCATAGTTACAGATGCTTCATAATCCCCCCCCCCCCATGAATCTACCATTATACATTTTAAAAATTGATTTTGGAAGTATTAAATGCCTGCTCTAAGAATTCAAACAATACTGAAAATTATAAAGTAGCTGCACCTTTAATCATAAAATATATCTTTGTATATGATTGGATGTACTTGTAGGCTCTGTTTTATGCTCGTCAATTCTATCTCTTTTTGCTCTGATACCAACTTTATAGGCCCTGGTTGGGGATGGAGACAGACCAGAAAGGCAAACTGGGTGAAGATGTGTAGATCTGGATGGCTAACTTTCAACACAAACATTTTATAGGTTGCATAGCATGGTGGTTAAAAGCACTAGTTCTGGAGCCTGACTGGCTAGATTACGTCTCAGCTTTTGAACTTGGGTAATTTGTCCTGTTGGTGCCTCAGTGTCTTCATAAAATTAAGGTGGTCATTCATTGCACTTGCCTCATAAGATTGGGGTGAGGAATAAACTATTTAATACATGTAAAGTACTTAGAACAGTGCCTGGGACATAGTAAGTACTCAACCATTACCTGCAATTGTCAGGATCATGATGGTGGTGGTAGTGGTGATGATGGATAGGTGCAGAGATGGGGAGAAAGGAAAAAGAACTTACGCGCATTTACTATGTGCCATTTACTCACATGATCTCCCAATTAGATCTCTCAGTTCAATATTTTCATCATTACCTTTTTAGCAGATGAGGAATCTAAAATTCAAGGAGGTTACAAATGGAAGCAGTAGAATGAATCATTAGACTCATTTCAAGAACAAAGAACAAGATAAATACTGAAAGCTACCTGGCCAGGAGATAACAGAAGACTGTGGAATGAAATGAAAAACAGGCCTTAGAATCACACCACCCTTTAGGACCAAGGGGGCAGTGTTTTAATATTCAGAACTGGTTGTGTGCCTGTCTAGTACCAGAAAACTTTGGACATTCAACATTTTTATGCTGGTGTATTTTCTGTTAACATTTTCTGTTTTGTTTTCCCTGGTCTGTCCTAAAATTACTTTTGAGTTATCAGTCTATTTGATTTGTACTTTGAAGGAGCAAAAAGGCAAAAGGAATCTGTGGAACTTTCAGGAAGAACATGTCAGACACAGGTGTGCTGGGCTTCAAATGCCAGAAGCTCACAAGGTAAAAGAAATGCAAGGAGGAAAACCCTTTTCCCCAGAGGCTTTTGGAGTATTCTTTGCCCTAACCTTAGAGGATTTTGAACAATATTTCCTAGAGAATGGCCTTTCACTCACTTATCTGTTCAGCATGACTCATCCCCAAGAGTTGAGTAAGTGGAATTTTATGGTATTTATGTTTTTGTGACTTTTATAATCATGGTGATATGGAAAGAACATGGACTTTGGAGTCAGACAGACCTTAGGTAAATTTCTGGCTTTGTCACTTAGTAGTTGTGTAATTTTGGTCTAGTTAATAACTTCTCTGGGCTGCTTCATCTACAAAATAATAATGAAGTCTACATCATAGAATTGGTATGAAAATGAGATGAGGCAGCAAAAATAAAAGTGAACTATATAAGCTCTGGCACAATTTCTCTGCCTTTCCTTTCTCTCAGATTGTGAGTTTGGATGAGCAATTGCCCATGTCTTGTATTTATTTTTATACCTTCCTAGTGCATCCAGAGCAGTGGTCTATCTACAGTGAACATGCTATAAATACTGACTGAATGACATTAGCATGCACAGAAACTGAATAATGGGTAAACAATTTAATGTGTTTTTTTAACTAAAAAGTTTTTTTTCAATTATAGTTAGCATTCAATATTACATTAGTTTCAGATGTACAGGATAGTGATTAGACTTTTATATAACTTACAAAGTGATCCACCCAGTAAGTCTAGTACCCATGTGACACCATACATAGTTAGTACAATATTATTGACTACATTCCCTACGCTGTACTTTACATCCCTGTGACTATTTTGTAACTGCCAATTTGTACTTCTTAATCCCTTCACCTTTTTCACTCAGTTCCTCTCCCTGTTATGTGTGTTTTAATACTTATCAATCTATTCATTCTGTCACAGAAGAACTGCCAAATGTAGATAAATAAGATGTGGAGTCAGGGCCCAGGCTTTGGGTGGTTGTTGCCTGAACCTGGCCACAGGCTGCTGGGGCGAGTGGAGACTAAGCCCTCGGCCCCTTCTGCTTACCGAGCCCCCGAGAGCAACTTGTTTTAGTTTACTCGAAAGCAGCCTGTGTGGGTGAATGACAGCCTCATCTGACACTAGGGGTTCCTCTTATAAATGATTTGCTGTTCTCGATTTAAGTGTTTTCTTTTTATCTTTTAATTATGAAATACTTAAAATGTAAATAAAATAATGTAACACTATTTACCCATAAATTGAGATTGCTATAATTGCTACCTTTTAAATTTTTTTAACTTATCTTCAGACTTTTAGAAAAAGTGAATATATATTACAAAGAGTTCCCATATACCCTTCACTTTTCCAAGTGTTAATATTTTACCACATTTACTTATCCTTGTCTCTCTATATTACATATGCAGATTATTTTTTTCTGGACCGTGTAAGAAAATTTATTTATTTCCTTCCTTCCTTTCTCTCAAATAAAGTATTTTAGGTAGAGCTAAAACTTCTTCGGTTCACCTATCTCCTCTCCCTCCCTGCCTCTTTTGGCCTCTGTTAGGTAACACGTTGTCTTACTTGTTTTGTTCCTTTCACTACATATGGTTAGATCTATAGCTATTGAATTTTCATTATTTGTTGAGACTTGCTTTATGACCTAGTACATGATCAGTTTTACAAATATTCCAGATATTCTTTCTAGAATGGGAACTCTTTAATTCTTTAATAAGCAGCTATAAGCCACTTAAAACTGTGCCTGGCACATTGTACACACCATAATCATAGGGTGTACAGTTATATATAAGTCCATTAGCTCAAATGTTTTCCAAATTTTGTATGATTGAGCTCTCAATTTTTAGATGAGTGTGCTAAGAAGTCTCTGTGATTGTGGATGTAAACTGGTTTGCATGTATTCTGCCAGTGTTTGCTTTCTGGCATGGATGTGAGACATCCCAGTCAGTTGTCCAGATCCCATTCCCTGATCCCTCCCATTGGTGAGGGCTGTGCTTCATTGCACAGCAGAGGGCTGAGACGGAAGTCAGGGCACTGACTGAGTGAAAAAGGCATCAGAGAGAATTGTAAGTTCATGAATTCAAACACACCAAGAATCACAGTGGGTTGACATCTCCTTTTTGTAAAGTTTTGCTCTGCAACCTAATCACTTGCTATACTCCGATATTTTCTCCTCTCAAAAGCCCTGTGCTCCCTCAACCCTAATTTCTCTGAAGTATAAGCCAAATTTTTTTAATAATATTCACCAAATTCCTTCTTTCCAGTATTTTAAAACTAAATTCTAATATTCATATGATACCTGTGGGACTGGGAGTTTGGGCAGAAATATTTCTTAACTGATTCATTGAAAATTGAATATTGTTCGCTGTACAGTGGTAAACAATACACCTAGAGAAGAGTGGGGAAAATAGGCACAAAACAAACTCAAATTGTGGAAATTGCTAACATAGAAAAGAACTGTTTCCATAAGGGAGAAAACAATGGCTGAGGGGCAGTGTACTATGAAAAGGAGTGACCAGCTCAGGGAAGGTCATGGGCCAGGACAGACCTTGGCAACTGAAGAGCTGAGAGAAGCCAGCAAGGTGGGAGTACAGCCCAGAGCGAGGCGGTGGGAGCGAGTGGCCTAGAAGAGGCGGAAGAGTCGCAGGGACTACCTCACATAGGGCTCTAGGAGCCATGTTAAAGCTTTCGATTTTATTCCAGAAATTGGAATCTGCTGAAGCATTTTAAGCAGAAAATGAGATGACTGGAATTACGGTTTTAAATATAATTCCAGCTAGCAGGTGGAGGATGACTAGAGAAGATCGAGAGTGGAAGCACAGATGCCATTCAGCAGAATTTTGGCAAATGGAGGTTTGTGGTGCAGGGTATGTTTCCCTCTTGGCAAAGAGTTTACCAAAACCACAGTGCAAATAAAAGAGACAAACTAACTTCATCTGTAAGAATTACTTACACAGTTCACGATCACCCATAACAAACACTACAGAGCTCTAGGAGGTCTAGAGTTATAACCACAACCCCACTCCCAATTTAAGTTTGTGGGTATTTTCTAAAATTTGTTAAAAATTTAAACTTCTGTAAAAAGAGTACAATAAATTCCCATTACTTTAGGAAT